TTTTTAAATTGGATACTTAAACTTTTTCAAATAAAAGAAAATTACTATGCTCAAATCTTATGTTAGGGACGTCTGCTGAGAACACGCGACAAAAAGGTTTCTGTGCATTTAAAGCCTGCCGTGAAATGAATGTGATTTCGGGAAATATCCTGTAACGTTCGAAGGTATTCGAAAAAGTGAGTAATTTCATTTAACCCTAGTGAGCCAGGTGTTTATATAACGTCAGGTCATCCGGCTGTTTTCAGTGTGCTTGTTTTAAGTCAAGATGAGTTCACTTACATATTATACTGGTGGAAACATCGTCTGGGGTTCAATTCAGACTATTGATAATTATGCGGTACCTATCTGACTAAACTACACGAAGTAAGTAGTTCTTTAGACGTTCTCATGTGATACCGTGTACAAAACTTACCGATAGCACTTAACATGAACTGAATACATATTGCGGTCACAATAGATCAGCTCCTCTTAGATCACATGTTCTTGATGGATACTAAATTCTAGTATTTCCCAGTAAGTACTTCTAATATTTCCTAGTAAAAAAATCACATACTATTTGAAGTTGTTAAAATGTACGTTAATAAAAATGTTCTGTCCGAAACAAGTCTGTCATTATACTACATTATTATCATTTTTTTAGTTTATTATTAGTTATTGTTACTAAACTCTTATTGTGACTTATAATATCTACGATGGGAATAAATCTTTTATTCACCACATTTTTTCTCTAAGTGTTGTCAATCTCTTATTTTAATTAATACGATCTATTCTGTCCATTACGAAAATTTATTATATTATAGTATCATTATTTTTCTGTTTTATAATTAAATATTATTAATATAGCAACCCTTATCATAGGGAAGTACGAATCTGAAATCGCCCCATCACATGTAAGCGTGTGTTAATGAATGCGGGGGTGGCCAAACTTGGTTAATGTAAGAGCCATATACGATAGATTTCTGATGGTTGAGGGCCGCAAGACATGAACAAAATTTACACATTAATATTAAACTTATGGTTTAATCCAGTTAGGTCTCACTTCTTGCCCAGTAAATAATTACAAATCTTGACTTTTGTTCTTATTTACCTTTCCTGTTAACTGTGATGAAAAGGGAGCTCATCTAACATATTTCCACCAACCGCATAGTAAATTTCATAGAGCCGCATGTGACTCGTGAGCCACGATTTAGCCACCCCTTGAATAGAGCATATAAGGAATATATGCTTTGCTATTTGGACCAGCATGTTCATATTGCTTGTTAGGAATCAAGATTATCATGTCAGTCCGATTATATAATATTGATAATTCTTCATATCAAGAATTACGACATATAATAATTTCTTGTTTCTAGTATTTTCATAAAAGCTAAGAAATGAGTGCTTCAAGACTCTGCAGGAAGTTTTCCATAGTTTTTATCATCAGTTTGACCATTCTCTGGCCGGCCACAGGAAAAATGTTTATACATCAGAAAATTATGAGACGATGAAAGTAAGTTATGGTATAAGAATTTTACATCAGAAGATGGTTTGGGGTATTTAATGAATACCATCGGTAACACTGTAGCATGTGTTTGCGAAAATAAAATTGTCTATTCACGAAAAAAATGCCATGGTTCTTCTCCACTCATCCAATGAACAGAGGTACATAATTCTTCCATCCCTAGGGATATGTCGATATTGTTATCGTCAAGCAACTGGCAAGCCGTTTTACTGAAGCTGGTGTTTACAGTAATCAAATTTAATTCACGAAAATAAAATCAATTTACCAAGATAGTTAAATCAAAAGCCATGGGCCTGGTAGAGCATCAAGGCATTTATTAATAATTCTACCTGATCAGCATTCCAACAAAGTGGTACTTCTGTACAAGTCTACGAAGGCAAATATATACCTGTCATGACACCCAGACATAAGCATTAAATATGTGCGAAATAATGAAAGATGTTGTCAGAAGCAGCGTGCAGCGCGTAACAATTAGAAAATGTTTTGAAAACAAAGTCACTTAATTTTGATTTCATTTGAGATTGTTCCCTAAAATCCCGATGCGTTTCTCAAGTCACCTGCTTTATCCTTCAAACTGTGTTGTGCTAGGGAATCATTCGCGTTCGAATCGATCTTACATATTTGTAAGACTACCATTCGTCTATGTTTTGAATATTGCCTTATATGGTCTGGTGTTCCTGCTATATATTTACAGATCCTTGATAAAATCCAAAGAGGAGTGCCATTTGCTCTAAAATGATATCTCAGCTTCAGTCATTTTCTCACTTCCGTAATGTAGTTTCCCCTGTGTTTTTCTATAAATACTCACATGAAAATTGTTCGGATGAACTTTCGCTTATGATACCTAAACTTTATGAATTTAAGCCCAGTACTAGATTAGCAGAAAGGTCCCATTATTTAACACTTAAAATGTCTAAATATAGCCGTAAGTTCGATGCTAACAGTTTCTTTTCTCGCACTTTTCACTTGTGTAAATCTTTTCCGGTTTCCAGTCAAGTTTGAACCTAAAAAATTTAAATGTGATGTCAATCTTTATGTTATAACTTAAATTCTGTTCTTTTATAGTTCTCGATAGTTAATAATGTTTGTCTTTTTTTCTGATATTATTCACTCAGTAATTGCCTCATCTGAGTAGCTTTATTGCCTTGCTTGAGGTGAAATGATTTTAAAAAATTAGTATATCTATAGAAAACACAATATACCCATCACCACAACAGGTTTTATCATATTACTTTTATCTTTCCTCTTTGTGTAATACGAGTTTTCAGAAAGTATCAACCAGAGACATTTTTTGGTATCAGAAGATACAAACAGATGAAGTGACATGAAATAAAAAAAAAAGAGTAGGTAACTTTGGTCATTGGATGAGGATAAATCTACACAAAATTAAGAAATGTCCATGTGTATTTTTTTTTACAATTAACACATTTTAGGTCTACCAAGAATTTGCTCTACATATTTCTTTGTTCCTTTTGGTATAATTCCAAAGCTCCAGCAACAACGGATTACTTTATTGTCTTCAGATGGCATATTCTACCGATTTCTATTTAGCTTAGTTTGTCGGACGTTATAAAGATGCTTTTACTCATTGATTTGTAGCCTGAGGATACAGCATCTATCAAGACAAATGTATTTTCAATCTGATTTTTCACAATTATGTCTCGTCGATATACCTGGATTTCCCTATCAGCCTGAACGCTTAAATACAGAGGATGGTAAACTCAACATTCTGTAGAAATTGTGGTGGCTTATGTTCGTACCAATTGTCTTTTCGTAGGAGGTTGAATTCGAGATATATTCACTAGTGTATGTATTGAGCAGCCTTAATATATCGTTGTAAATTCTCTGTTGACGCAAGTCGCACACACTGTTATTATTATTATTATTATTATTATTATTATTATTATTATTAATATTATTTTTACTATTATTATTATAATTGAAGTAATATAGAAGATGTCAAAGTGACGACATTGTATGATTTTCGTGGTAAACAGAACTGGGGCCGTCTTTGGATTATGACAGTTATTGCCTTAGACAAGAAGTAAAAAGCGAAAAGGTTCCCCTGTGCTTACCAGGAAGAAGTATAATGCCAATTCGAGAGTCGAATATGGTAATGGCGTGTCAGGTATAATGGTAATGATTCACTTGGCTCTCTCTTTTTGTTTACATCTAAGAGTTTTAGGTTTTCGCGCAGGGAACGTGACTCGGTTAGTAATTTTTTTGTGGTTTGTTTATCTCAAACGAAGGGCAAACGATTATTAGGAGGAGAGGTCAGAAACAGAATGAGAAATATCCATACGGAGACGCACACATTCTTAAAAAATAAGCGCATTAGAACAGGTTCGATAACATACACACACACACACATGTATAAATATCTTTACGTGCATGTATATATATATATATATATATATATATATATATATATATATATATATATATATATATATATATATATATATATATATATATATATATATATGCACGTTTGTGTTTATATATGTGTGTGTCTCTATATATATATATATATATATATATATGTGTGTGTGTGTGTCTGTGTGAGTGTGTATGTATGTGCGTGTGTATGTATGTGCGTGTGTATGAGAGAGAGAAAGAGAATGAAAGTATGTGTGTATGTGTTTTTGAGGGGGGAGAGAGAGAAAGAGAATAACTGTCTGTCTTAAACAGTTTCTGAACAAAAGCTATAAGGATAGTAGAAAATAAACAAAAAATTTCTTTTCTGTGCTACATTCATCGTAACAATTCTTTCTATCTATCTATCTATCTATCTATCTATCTCAATACATACATATATATATATATATATATATATATATATATATATATATATATATATATATATATATGTATGTCGTCAGTATATATATGTATGTATTCGTATTATCTATCACCACTAGCACCAATATTATATTTTTGAAAGAGAATAGCATATATACATATACGCATCTATGTACATGCATGTGCATACTTGTATGTTAACATATTTCTCTGTAAATGTGCGTGTGTATAAGCTTTCCTCTATGTGTATCTTCATAGAACTCCATGTACATATCCTAAGTAGAATGATAAAGTACATCAGGCAAAAAATCCTCCGATCGGGTGGTTTTGTGGATCGTGGAACCGCCTCTTAATCTCTGCTGTTTCTACATCAAAAACTGACGCCGGGTTAATAGTTGCTTTTCTGCTCTCAGGTATGGGCAAATAGTTAACCCCAAACTGGTGTTAAAACATTATGAAAGTATAAAAATACCAACAATACATTTTCATATTTAAAAAAATTACAGAAATGATTTTTTGAAAAAAATAATACCAGCAATACATTATTGAAACAAAAATTATACCAGCAATACATCTTTGAAGAAAGAAATACGAGCAATACATTTTTGTAGAAAAAATAACTAATGCTCCCTAGAAAATGACCCCATAAGTAGTTGATATGCCGCTAAACAAACAAACATGAACAAATTCTATTCAGAGAAACAAAAATACATTTATATCCAACATATATCTATGTATATATTCATATCTGTTTAACTATGTATCCATCAATCTATCTATAACTATTCACATCTATCTATCTATCTATCTATCTATCTATCTATCTATCTATCTATCTATCTACCTATCTATCTATCTGTCTGTCAGTCTGTCTATGACTATTCGTGTCTATCTATCTATCTATCTATCTATCTATCTATGTCTATTCATATCTCTCTATATATCTATCATATCTCTCTCTATGTCAATACATATCTATTTATCTCTGCCTATTCATATCCACCTATATATTTAGTTAATAAAACGAGGGGGAAGGGGAAGGGGTACTATACGAATAAAAGCTTAATGGTTCCTGGTGACTGTAAAACAGAAACGTTATTACTCACACAGCGCCTAAAATAGAGAGAGAGAAAGAGAGAGAGAGAGAGAGAGAGAATAAAATGCCTCTTCTGTTTACACAGAACATATATTTGTTCCTCACCGGATAGAATTTCATGCACGTGGCATCATCAGGGATAAATTGAAAGTTTGAACCACCTGAACTTTCTCAAGAAAATTTGATTAATTTTTGCTGAAATAGCTGCATAATTTTATTTCTGCTTGCATCTAATAAATAGAAATGAAAGACATTTCAAGACGACTACTTTTTAATAATTTTTGTATATATTTTTACGGATTATCAACCCTTTATAGTTTAAATAAAGCTAAAAAATGTTTTTAGATTTTCAGAACGTTTTTTTTTTAGGTACTAATAATTTTAGTAATACAATTACCACTTAATGCATACGTCGGTGAGGAGAAGAGGTGGAAACATATATAATCAGAATTTGATACAAAAACAAAAAAATTATCACGTGAATATAAAATGAAGGATCAATTCTATATTACAATCAATATATAAACTGTCCCCTCACTTTTTGACAAATCAACCATACGCCCTTGCATGGAGTCTTGCTGCCATATATGGTCTGGGGCACTTTCTGTTTTCCTCGGAGTTCTTGACAAGATCCAGAGACGGATATGTAATATAATTGGCCCTGATCTGGCGTCTCGTCTACAGTCACTCTCTCACAGACGCACCGTCGCCTCTCTCTGTCTTTTCTACAAATACTTTCATGGTAATTGCCCCGATGAGCTGCTTTCACTGGTTCCCAGACTCCATGAATTCAAGCGCCCAACAAGGCTGGCATCCCGCTCCCACCCTTTCGCTGTAGAAACTTTTAAATGTAGCCGTCTTTTCTACTCCAATAGCTTCATACCTCGCACCTCTCGCCTGTGGAACACCCTTCCCAATTACTGTTTCCCTGAGAGCTATAATCTCCCACTATTCAAATGTAATGTCAATCAACATCTTGATCTATTCACTATCCTTCTCCTCATCCTTTCTTCTATCACTCCTATCTGCTCTCGCTCCAAATCTTCTGCAACCCCCTGCTTCCTAGTGGCTTCACGCCTTGCTCGGGGCGTAATGCTTAAAAAAACAAACAAAAAAAAACGATGTTTTCTATGTAGTAATATACTGGGAATAAATCTAAATCTAAAAGATATGCCTGTTCAGCTAATCATTCGTTAATTGATTGACTTGTTTTCTACGGCTTATCAAACATTTTGCTTTATTTTGAAGGTAGAAAATATTTTTAGATTTTAATATATATATATAACGTCATCCACAGACAGACTGTTTCGCAGCTCATCAGTGCGGCTAGACATCCGGTTTAATCTAGCTAGGATCGAAACCCGACTGAATTGGTGTCAGTCAGAGATTCTAAACATTAAGCCGTCGGCGCACGATAGGGATAAAAGTGGATTTTTTAGCGTATTTTTATTTTTAGAAACACGCCCAGTGACCGGGAGTGACTCAGTTCGCATCTGCGAAGAGTCTCGCTATACAGCTATAATAGTCACTGTTTACCAACACACACCTCGTCCCCAGAGAGCTCAACTGAATATATATATATATATATATATATATATATATATATATATATATATATATATATATATATATATATATATATATATATATATATATATATATATATATATATATGAAATGGTTTAATGGTACAAAAATTAATCCGTAGCTAGAGGGAGAACAAATGGATTCATACCTTTCCCAAAGTTAGTGGCGTCTATGTGAATATAACTAACCCAATAAGATTTAGAATCAACCTCTGATTAAAAATCAGAGATGCCATTATCCAGCATGTCCAAAATTACAGCACCTCGTATTCACAAAAGGTTACCCATCTAAGTACTGACACGGCTCACCGTTGCTTAATTTCGATAGCCGTAGGGGAGCCGGCGTTTCAACGTGATTTGTTCGCAAGCCGTTTAGAATTTGGAAATTCTTGAATTCTTGATTACAGTAATAAATAGCATAATGTTAACGTGAGGCAAATGGATTCAGTTTGAATCCATAACATTCACATACGTGCTAATACCCTTGGGAAAGGTATGTAATCCTATTTTTCTCCCCTCCCCCGCTATGGATAAATAGCAGGACAGACAGGGTTCTATAGCCTTGCATGGTAACAGGTTTAACGCAGAAAGAAATGTCAACCTACTGCTGGGAAAAACAAATCTTCCTCGTCAGTCATGTATCGAAAGATGCATGATCGTCTAAGCGTGTCTTACGCATGGCACATAACAGACTTTAGAAACTATATTATTTTACTTGTCTTTTCTTGTTTGTGTTTCTTGACCGACACTGATGTCAGTAGTGGGATTAATTAATTAAGGTTTAGTGAAATTTAAATACAGTTCATTATAAAAAAAAAATGTTACTTCTTTATTTATATAAAAATATATGAAAAAGCTGGAAATAGTCTATAAACATTTAAAAGAGAACGAACTAAAATGGTGATACGTAAATGAAAAGATCGAAAACTATATGTATCATTCCGAGATGGACTTTTTTTCAGGTGTCTTTTATTTATATGAACATAACAGACATATTTACACTACATGCGGCCAATTGTCCTCATCTTTATTCTTATTATGACAGGGTTTGCGCCTAGTCGATTAAAGCAATGATTCGGGAATTAATTGTGAGTTCAATACCTGGCCGGGCAGTTCGTACGTGGACAGCGGAAACGAGCGAGCAATAACTGATCAGTACTAAAAACAAAAAAGGGTTATATATTCCTAGACATGGACAGTGAAATAAAGGGTTCAACTCAGAATTTCCTGGTGAAGTTCAGAGTGCAGAATGGCTGATACGTTGTGATTACAAGAAAAAAGACGAAGAGAAAAATACAAATTTAAATAATGCAAATACGAAACACGTAATACTTAGATAGATAGATAGATAGATAGATAGATAGATAGATATCAATAGACATAGAGTGATGCAAATAGGCATAGATTCATATGAATAGAAATATATATAAATAAACTGAGATATGAACAAACTTAGACCAATATGAATAGACACAGATAGATATGAATAGGAACAAATTTATTGATAGATATGAAGAAACTACTATACGTAGATATAAATAAACCCTGATAGATAGATAGATAGATAGATAGATAGATAGATAGATAGATAGATAGATAGATAGATATGGCTAATCTTAGATATAGACACGAGCAAAATAAGATAGATAGATAGGTAAACAGAAAAACAGAAATATATGAACAAACTACGATAGATATGAATACACCAGGACGAATAGATATGAAAACATAAAAACAGATAGATAGATAGATAGATAGATAGATAGATAGATAGATAGATATCAATAGACATAGAGTGATGCAAATAGGCATAGATTCATATGAATAGAAATATATATAAATAAACTGAGATATGAACAAACTTAGACCAATATGAATAGACACAGATAGATATGAATAGGAACAAATTTATTGATAGATATGAAGAAACTACTATACGTAGATATAAATAAACCCTGATAGATAGATAGATAGATAGATAGATAGATAGATAGATAGATAGATAGATAGATAGATAGATATGGCTAATCTTAGATATAGACACGAGCAAAATAAGATAGATAGATAGGTAAACAGAAAAACAGAAATATATGAACAAACTACGATAGATATGAATACACCAGGACGAATAGATATGAAAACATAAAAACAGATAGATAGATAGATAGATAGATAGATAGATAGATAGATAGATAGATATATATTAACGGACTGAGATAGATAGATAGATAGATAGATAGATAGATAGATAGATAGATAGATAGATAGATGTGAAAAAGAAAAATATTGAAAATGTTCGTCTTGTAGACACGGACGACATTTGTTTGCAAAGTATAAAATAAATATTCATGATCAAAATCTTATTAACTCACCGAGAAAGGTTACAGATAAAAAATAATAAAGACAATGTTGCATATATATTCATTAAAGGATTTCTATAAATATTCATATGTTTGTAAATGAACAATATGAACGACACCAAATAAAACGCATCACCGATGAGAAAAACAGATAAGAATGAATACATATATTATTAGTCGCTACAAAATATTACCTCAACCATTCTAAAATAAACGGAACTTATATTTTGTCAAAGTTTAATTTTTGTCTGCATCATATCATTTATTTAATATAATAGTTGTATTTATATATATATATATATATATATATATATATATATATATATATATATATATATATATATATATATATATTAAAACATTAAAACAGCATAAATGCATATTCGGATTTTTGTTTTTCCATATTTTTCTTCATATATATATATATATATATATATATATATATATTGTGTGTATTTAGGCAGCATTTTTCATTCATACATGTTTCATTAAATAATATAGACAAGTGTTGTCTATTTATTTTATGTAAATTCTTTTCATAACGTCTGATAAGCTTAATAACAATATCTTTAAACGAAGAAAGAAAATCACAATGTTGATCCATATTTTTTAATCCAATCTAAGCTTTTGGCTTACATACGCCATTATCAAAGATGTTAATTACTGTACAACATATTAAGCGATATACGGACAAGACAGTGATGATAGTTTGTGATTGTTTACATGAATGATTTTCAAGCAACGAAAAACACGTGCAACTAAGTCGCTAGAAGCGAAAATCGCACCGCATCTCATAATGTCACACATTTAAGGATATTTGTATCCTTAAATGTCTATAACTGGTAACAGAAGCCATTGATTTATACCAATAGCTTCCCATACTTAATACTTCTCGAATTCACTCTCGCGTGGACTTGTCTATAGTATTTAATGAAACATCTATGAATATATATATATATATATATATATATATATATATATATATATATATATATATGTATTACATAATAAAGAAATCGAAAATTACCTCAGAAGTATAGACTATTTCAAAAAACCTCAACGTGTTAGCTTAATTCATTTCAAATGGCGGATTGTATTAAGTTGAATAAAGCTAACGCATTGAATTTATTTGAAATAGTCTATACTCAAGAGGTAATTTTCGATTTCTCTGTTATATAATATATATGGCCTGTTATAATAAATACGTTGAGCTCTTTTTGTTGATCAGATTTAATATTTTATATTATTAGAATCCACTTGGATTAGATTCCAACGGATTTATTACATGTACTATATATATATATATATATATATATATATATATATATATATATATATATATATATATGTATGGGGGTGTATAGGAATCGTTTATATATCTAACATGTTTCACTTTTTATTAAAGCTTCGTCAGTGATTGAGAAAAAACAGAAGTTTGGTATTTTCAATTTTGTTTGTTGCAATTCTCATTGATTAGTCATGCATTACGTGCATTAGAACCATTTTCTAAAAATGCTAGTATATCTAAGCGGGCATCGAATGGCAATGTGTATTCGTAATTGTGTTCGTGTAACTGCCTTGTGTGCCTAATTCTAATTTTTTTTTATTTTTGTCTGGTCAGTCGGCGTGGTGAGGTGGTATTCTATTAATCTAGGTCTGTTTTTATGTACCCACTGTTTGTATTAGATAGACATAAGTTAGATTATTTACGAATGAATTCAAAAACGTATTGTGATATAATGGAAGGTTTTAGGATATTTTTATAGTTATTATTAATAAACTTTCACAGTATTTTCTCCTTAAAGAATTGTGTTCTTTTTTTAATTAGGGTGGAATTAGTGAAATCAAACTTATGTCCAGCGTTGTTCCTGTGTAACATGAGAAAGTTAGAAAGTGTGTCGAAACGCAAATCTCTCTAGTGTTCGTAGTTGAGGGTATTTGAAATGCGGTTCTACAGAATGATGTTGAGGTTACCACGGACTGAACATATCAGCCATGACGGGGTTTTATAGAAAATGGAAACAAAAGGAAACTTACACTTAACATCAGGAAGATGCAGTGAAAATTTCTGAGGTATGTAATGAGGAAGAACGGCTTGGAAAATCTGATACTCACAGGCCAGATTGAAGTGAAAGAAGGACAGAGGAAAGCAGCGGGTAACGTACTTGATGAACTTGATAGAACAGGGTTTGGAAGAAATAACACAAAGACAAAACTTAATAAGAGCTAAAATGGACCGGATGATGTGGAGGACCACGCTCGGCTACGTCCTAAAGGGCACAGCACACAAAAGAAGAATGAGATTTCACCCTCATATAAACATCTTTGCATTGTAAACAATCTATTTGGTAACGAACTTATATATATATATATATATATATATATATATATATATATATATATATATATATATATATAAAATAAAATAAATCAAAATCAAACTCATCTCATGTAGGGAATAGCCTATTTCAGCAGGCAAAAAATATCGGCCGTCTATTTTATCAAGCCCGGTGTGGACTGAGTTTGTGTCAGAAATAAACATTTTTCGAAATAGAAAATTTTCGATAGGTTGTTTATTAATTATTTGCCCTGTCATAATAAATTCACTGAGCTCTATTTGTGGATCAGTTTTAATATTTTATATTACTAGGATCCACTTGGATTATATGCCCACAGATTAATTACCTGTACTATAGACACACCCACTTTCCAGGATAAATAAAACTGTCAAAATGACCACGCGAATTCAGAGAAGCATAGATCCATCCAGCTCTTATCCCAAATAACAACTTAAAAGAGACCGTTTGATCAACACAAGGAATGTTAAAAGATTCATTTTAAAAAGATAAAAAAATAAAAAAACAAATGAAAACTACAGACAAAAGTTAATTTTCTCCAGCAAGACATTCATTTCTGTAGTTTACTGCTACCAACAAGCAGAAATATTTCTCCCCCCGATGATGGCCATTTCGGCCGAAACTAGTCGAGGAATCTAAATGAAATAATAATAAAAAAAAAAACGAAAGAATATTAATCTACAACCCAGTGTATCTGAAGATTTTAATTTTTTAATTTTTTAATACTGTTTTATTGTTCAATATATATATATATATATATATATATATATATATATATATATATATATATATATATATATATATATATATGTAATAAATAAAAGAAAGAACAGTAAGATATAAAATCCGGTGTTCTTATAGATAGTTTTATTTTTACAAAAATAGTGCTCAATGTAAATTTACAGAGCATTAATATTATAAATTAATTGATTTAAATATGTTTTTTCACTACACAGTTCCAACCATGTTTCAAAAATAGAAGCTAAAAACCCCGAATTTAATTTTGCAATTAAATTAAAAGCATTAGTTCCATTTCATCTTCAAGCGAATTTTTTTTTTTTTTGAAGATGAAATGGAACTAATGCTTTTTAATTTAATTGCAAAATTAAATTCGGGGTTTTTAGCTTCTATTTTGAAACATGGTTGAACTGTGTAGCGAAAAAAAAACATATTTTAAATCAATTAATTTATAATATATATATATATATATATATATATATGTATGTGTGTGTGTGTGTGTGTGTATCCATATATAATATTTGTTTTTTTTTTTATTTACTCTAGTTAATCCGTTATCATTGTTAACTTTCATTTTAAACTTATCTTCCTTCACCTGTGTCGATGCAAATCTGTTTAAATAGTGACTTTGGTTTTGAGCGGGATCTATTAATTGCAAAATTAAATTCGGGGTTTTTAGCTTCTATTTTTGAAACATGGTTGGAACTGTGTAGCGAAAAAAACCATATTTTAAATCAATTAATTTATAATATATATATATATATATATATATATATATATATATACATGTATGTGTGTGTGTGTATCCATATATAATATTTGTTTTTTTTTTTATTTACTCTAGTTAATCCGTTATCATTGTTAATTTTCATTTTAAACTTATCTTCCTTCACCTGTGTCGATGCAAATCTGTTTAAATAGTGACTTTGGTTTTGAGCGGGATCTATGAAGAATTCCTCATTCATATCCTAGATTTCATATATGCGAATTAAAGAAAAAAATATTCAATTCGTCATTTAAAAAAATAGTATGTCCTTCTTTGAACGCACAAATCCACACTTTTCTCCCTCGTTGTTTGACACACCGCACATACATAGCTATAAGTTTGAGGATCTAAACCGGTAGATAATGCCACCTCTTTATAGGCCCAAGCCTACTTAAAATCTCCTTCTTTTTTTCTTTCATTTATAGTAGACACGCAACTAAAGTTATCCGCTTAAATGCAAATAAGTTGTCAAAAGTCAATAACAAGCCACGTTTACATAATTAACAGTCCTTATCGGAATACATGCACCTGAATTGCACGTGTTCATAGTTCATTACTACTCTTCTACTCTTTCTGCCTAAACGCAAATTTCTGGCATGTGGAGTTATCATTATTTACTTTACGTATATTCGGACTATCCTTATTCTCATCACAACGTCTCGGCCGCTGTTCCCCCCCGGCCTTCGTCAGGTGTATATCGATCTGGTGAAATTAGATAAAGAGTTTGGTTCAGAATTCCCCGTAGGTTACCCAGATCGATATCCACCTGATGAAGGCTGAAGGGCAGGACAGCCGAAACGTTGCGATAACGACAACAAAGATGTTTATTTGATTCTATTATTTTTCTACGGATTATGCACAGTTTGTAAGTTATTTAAATCCAGAAAATATTTTTCGGTTGCAAGATGTTTGTTTTTAGATGACAATTCTACTAGTCTTAGTAATTAACACATAGCTGAGTTGGTGGGTGGGGGTGAAATAGGTGGTGAATTGATACCATTCACATAGGTATTTGCGTGTGAGTGAGTATAACGAACCCAAATGGAATTGGAAATCGTCTCTCCGATAAACAAATCCGTGTCATTATTTATTACACCGACCACACAGCCTACAGTATCTGGTATTCCCAAGCAATTACCCATCTAAGTACTGACCAGATTCGACTTTGCTTAACTTCGGTGATCGTACGGAAGACGGTGTTTCAACCTCTTGTGGCCGTAAGCCGCAACAAATATGAATACTATAGTCCGAATATGAATAATATGAATAAAGAGTTGATAGGTTACCCTACTTTCTGGTTCACAGTTGTTATGGGACCTTACCCATAATAACATAATGGACTATTCCATACGTAATAAATACTGCGTCTCAAGAGGAAGCAGGTAGTTTCGTCTGAAGTCTTTTTCTGACTTTTTCTGACCAGTCACATCGAATTTTTTTTTTTTTTTTGACGAACCTGTTTTTACCCACGAGGATTTGCTCAGATACTTCACGAACTTTTTTGCTTGACGAACTTTATTCGGCCACCAAATCTTTTCTGTTTTCTGTTATTGTTTAAGTTTTATTTTTTCCATTTTCTTTTGTTTGTTTTATTTTTTTTTCTGGGCTTCGGCCCTCATATTTTATTTTTATTTTAGTCCGGGTTGACAAAGTCTTAGCGGACGACTGCTTTTTTTATTTCTGTTTATTTCTTTTCAGTTTTTGTTTTAAAAATTTAGTACAGTTTAAGAAAAGAGAAAAAAAAAGCTTTATTTTTATTTCCTTTTTATTTATACCTTCCTACTTTTGTATTTAATTAGCGACTTCGGTCACAATCTTTTTGGTTTGACTAGTTTGTTTTTCTTTTGTTTTTAATTTATTTTCTTTAGCGGCTTCGGTCGCAAACCTTTATTTTTTTTATTTCTTTTCTTTTTTCTTTTTGTACATTTTTGAATTTTTTGACCAAAAAAAGAGAGGAGTTACTGTTTTTGTTTTTTTCTTTTATTTTCGGCTGCCTTTGGGCGCCATTTTTATTTTTAAAACAAAAAGTCTTACCTGTTTATTTATTTTCTTTCAGTTTATCTAGTTTGTCTTTTATTTTATTTTACTTTTAGTTTTCCCAGTTTATTTTTAAATTTTAATTTCCTGGGTTATCCAGGCTCTCTTTTATTTTTATTTTTTATTTTTTTTTTGCCTTCTCCCAAATCCTTTCCCCATTTTTTGGAAATTTTTGATAGAGACCCGCAGGTGGAAGTCTCCACGCTTTTGCAATATGGCCGACGTAGCCAGTCGGTCTAATGTTTAAAAAGACCTTTTCGGGGCGGCTGCTAAAGCCGACCCGCCGGATAAATTCAAATCCGTGAAGAAACGGGCAAATGCTGCCCCAAATTTGGAAGAACGTGCTAGTAGCACGAAAAAAGGTTAAACCAGCCAAAAAGATGAGGTGCCGAAGGAGGCACAAGCTAAGACGGCCGAGGAATTGCCCTCTTGTTGAAAGTCCCCCCCAAGCTACATGGCGGATTTCTTGGAAATAAAGATGGGCTCCTTGATAATGTCCAAGAGCTCGATATGTTTTCAAAGAGAATGGTGTCGGTTTTCATGGTGGACAAGCGAACTCGTAAAATTTGTTGCTCCACGAAAGACATAGTGACTAAATCACTTTTGTCCCTGGGGATAAAACCCCAGAGTCATTAAAAGTGCTGGGCTCATCATGTGGGACATTCTGCTGGATTGCTTGGCCATGGCAAAAAGAGAGCTGATCACAAAAACCTAATTTTAAGAACGGAGTACGAGGGTCGGCGAAGGACCAGGGTGGCCGTTTTTGAGGTTCCTCCTCAAATTTCGGGAGAGCACCTGGTTGCATTTTTTATGCAGTTCGGTCAGATTTTAGGGGCTCTCTCCGACAATTTGAACGGGGGATGGACTTTCGATATCATGCTCGATCAGAAGGCCTTCAAGTCCGTCCCCAACTGTTTGGAGTTAGGCGACCGGAAAATGCCGGTCATTGTGACCGGTAGGAAACCTACTTGCTGGAGGTGTGGAGAGATTGGTCACCTTTACCGAGAATGTAAAATCCGCGGCGCCTGTAGTGGGCCTAGCTGCAAGGCGGACCGGTGCGGAAAATCCATCGGTTGGGTCCGTACCCACATTATCCCCAAAACCGACGCCTTCCACAAGTGTGGATAAGGAGAAGGATGAGGAAGGGCACCTCGTAGTTAGGGGCAAAGGGAAGACCCAAACAGCAGGGCCTCAGTCCCATCATGACCCCAGGGACAATAGCACCTACAGCCCCATTTCCTCTACCAGCTCCGAGGGCGAAGCCTCGGCGTCTTATGAAAAACTCGCCACAGAATCCCAAAAACTAAATGAGCCCAGCTGGGAAAAAATATTAGACCTAAGGAAACTAAAAGAAAAGCTGGAGTCTAAGCGGTGTAAAAATAAAAAATCGCTGGGGGCATCGGGCCCCCTATCCTCTGCCCCGTCTCCCCCTTCATCAAATAAAAACACTTTCATGAAACCACCTCCACCCAAATCACTGTCAAACTCACCGACTAGAACATTTCATTCATCAAAACCTTCTGTGAGGTCGCCTTCGAGCATGACACCTTCCACTACACCTAAAGTCACACCCATTTCATCTCCACAGAAGAAAAGGGGCAGAAGTCCAGATTTACAAGCAGCTACAGACAAAAAGAAAAAAAAATCAAGCCACCCTATCTCCCAGGGGAAGACGTCTGCCGCGTATCCCGGGAACAGGCAAAGGGTCTTCGGGCAAACTAAAAATCCGAAGCCACTAAAAGTTCTATGGAATTTCCGGCACATCAAAGGCGTGGATGTGGAAGTGCCGGAAAATTTTCAAAATGCCCAAAGATTGCTGACTGTTGTGAGATCTGGCCCGGGTACGCGGGCGATTTGGGGCATGATAGAGGAGGCAAAGGCGTCCTTGAAAGTGGTGCCTCCAGCTGCCGTTCTTGTGGAAGATAATTTAGATGAATCAAAGCAATGTAAAGGGAGGGTCCCTCTTTTTGTTCACCCATCCCTTTATAGGGCACTTAAGCTAACTTATCCTGCGGACATAGGCGGCTTGTCTCAGGAGGATACGCTCGATACTGAGATGATGTCTGGTTCAATGGGACAAGCTGTGGGTGTCCTCTCCCCAGCCATGTTCTATCCTGAAGGACAACCCTAATTCGATTTCACAATGGCACTCTGGTTAGCTACTTTGAATGTCCGGGGCCTGAGGTCCGAGTCTCGCAGGGCGGGGCTCTCTCGTGACCTTCAACGTCCCACCAGAGGTGAATGTATGTTGTTTGCAAGAGACCTGGTTTTCTTCTCATGACCGTGAGGATATGCTGTCTAAGTGGTTCGCCCTTTATTCAGCATGTTTTGATGATCATTCGAGGGGTGTCTCTTGGCTAGTGAGCAGGACTTTGAAGGCTGCATGTACCCTTGTCTTCGCGGATCAGGCGGGCAGGCTTTGCGTGCTGGATGTTACCATAAAGGATAAGGTTCTACGTCTCATTGGGGTTTATGCGCCCAATATCCATTCCGAGCGGCCTGCTTTGTTTCGGCAGATCTTGACGACGTCTCGTCGGGTAGTTTTAGCGGGGGATTGGAATGCTGTCCTTGACCCCGATATAGATCGTATAGGGCACAAACAAGGTACTAACAACCCGGACGTGAAACCATTTCGGGACTTTGTCGATGGGTTTGATCTTGTCGATAAGTTCCGGAATGAACACCCTCGGGAGGTAGCATGGACTTGGACAAATAGTGGCAACTCGGCTCCTGGGACGCTTGCGAGCTACCTGGACCGAGTCTTAGTTAGGAGAGTCGATGTAGGGCTCTTAGGGTGTCCAAGTTTCCATTACATAGTTTATACGGATCATAGGCTTATCCGGGTCCGTGTAAACTTAGATAAGCCTAAGGTTAGATTGGCTGGTTACTGGAAATTGAACTGTTCACTATTTAGTGAGCAGGATTTCCGGAACCAGCTGTTACTAATGATACAAAGGGAATTGACGGGAGCGGTTGTGGGAAACGCCTGGTGTGACAATTTAAAATGTAAAATTCGAACGTTTGCTGCCGATTTTATTCGTCGACTCAACCTAGATAGATTAGCGGCGCAAATGGCTTTAGAAAATAAAGTTGATCGGGCTGTGAAATCCCGTGTTAGTGGGGAAATAGCTTTAGCTAAGGCAGAGTTGTCCTCCTTGCTTATCAAGAAGGATCAAGCTCTGGTAGTTAGAGCTAGGTTAAAAAGAATGTCTTCTGAGGCGACGAATATGGCCGCTAAACTGCGTGTAGAGGAGAATCGGAACGCGTCTAGGTGACATATAGCGTGCGTCACATTGCCGGATAAGCGGACCGTGACTACAAACGCGGGCATATGTGAGGTCTTTCGGGATTACTTTCAGGATCTTTTCACCAGGGAGCCCGGTCTGAGCTCTGCTCAGTTCGACGCCTATTTAGCTGACTTTCCCTGCCTCAAGGCAGCTGAAGTGGCTAGGTGCGAGGGTCCCATTACAGAGTCGGAAATCTGGGAAGCGCTGAAGCAGTTTGGCCTGGATAAATCTCCGGGATTAGATGGTCATTCCTACGAAGTTTACTTGAGGTTGTCGCACGTTTTTGTTCCTTTGCTGGAACTGATTTTTAACCACTGGATGAAGCAGAGGTTTCTACCTTAACGCTTCACCAGGGGTGTGATCAAGTTGCTGCGTAAGGACAAGAATGGTGGGGATGGGTTAGGGAACTTTCGCCCTTTAACCATGTTAAACACTGAGTTAAAGATTTTGGCGAAGATCTTAGCCAACCGTTTGCAGCTTGTCCTGTCTAGTCTGATTGGCCCTGAACAGACTTGTGCTGTGAAGGGCAGGACTATTCGGATAACCTTCATATGGTACGCTTGATCTTAGAACAAGTCGACAGTGAAGCCGCGCTGATCAATTTAGATCAGTCCAAGGCCTTCGATAGGGTTGATCATCGATTTCTGGAGGTCCTTTGTCGATTTCGGAGCCGACTTTCGCTCCTGGATCCGACTTTGTATGCGACCCCCGGTGCGCTGGTGGAAGTGAATGGGGTAAGATCGAAGCCTTTCGTATTGTCTCGCTCCATTCGTCAAGGTTGTCCGCTCTCGCCTCTGCTTTACGTTCTTGCGTTGGAACCTTTCCTTCGCAAGTTAAAGGCGAATACGGTCCTGCGCGGAATTTCCCTGCCTGGGGCTTCCACCTCAGCCAGGTATT